GGCGGGGGGGGGGGCGCTGCGGCGGCCCCCAGCCCTCCAGCCCAGTCCCTCCCAGTCCCAGGTGGGGTGCCCTTTCCAAAAAGGCAGGAAAGGGGATGGTGCTCAGGGTTGGGATCTGTCCTCCTTGGTCCTGCAATTGTGTTATCCAGGAGCTGGATGCACTTCTTTCGTCCACTGTTAGGGGTGCACGGCATTGCTAAATCTCTCTTGAAACACAGAGCCTTCCTCTCCAAGCTGTGATTTAAGTATCTTGGGGATACTTAAATCTTGGGGATACTTGGCGAGGGGCAATCTCATGCAATTCTTTCTCTCTTCCCTGCCAGTTTCTGGTGAAGGCAGCCTGGTATCTTCAGGTGGATTTGAAGTCAGGTAATTGCAGCACTTGCTGCTGCGAGTGTGTCCTTGCACTTGCTGTATTATGGACATGTGCAAGGGTCGCTCAGGATGCTACCAGAGTGCAGTTCATTAGTGTAACCTTCACCAGAGATGTGTGGAAACTTGCTTATGCTCTCATTTGAAAGAATAATCACTGGGGCTTATCTGAACATTAATGTGGAAAGATTGTCTTTTGTTTGAGCCTCTGATGTTCCTGCTGGGAGCATCACGGATTTCCCCTGAGCTCCTGTTTCCTGTTTGGGAGTGAAACAGCGCCTAGCACAGGAGCCTCTGTAGCTTTTACAAGTGCCACTTCAGCGGTGTCAGCATGCACAGCTGGAGCAAAACACTTTGGGTCGGTTTAGTTCCTTGGGTGCCTGCAACACTAGCAACGTTTCCACACACCAGCAGTGCCTCGGTTGAAACTTGCTTAGCTTGCAAGGTAGGGAGCCAGATCAGAGCCATGGGCTGGGAAAATGGTCTCCAAAGCAAGTGTCAAGCTTTGCCTTCCCTTCAGAAGGAACAGCACTGCTTGGAGACTTTATTCTTGGCCAGGAGGAAAGCACCAGCGTGGAGACTTTGTTAATACAGCATTCGCTAGTGCCAGCATCTTTGTTGTCAAACCATGTTTCTGTAGTGCCGAGAAAACATTTAAATGTCTGAAGCTTGAAGTGGATGTGTCTAGCATCCTCCTGCCTCGCTTTGCAACTCAAAGCAGCCTCCAGCCTCCCTTCCCACCCCCAGCCAAATACCCCAGCCCTGATTCCAGGTACCCGAGCATTGCTGGCGAGTCTCCATCTTTAGGTTTTTGCAGCATTAAAGGTGGGAGATGAGTGGGGATGGTCGAGGGGTGTGAGTCCCCAGGATTCAGGTGAATCCCAGGGATTTTCAGGGATTGCACCCACAGCAGGGGGCCATGCCTCGCAGCAGAGCATGGCAGACACCCAAACGGAGTGTTTATATTGCTGACAGATAATCTTTTAAGCTTTCAGATGCAGGCATGTCAACCCAAGTGTTCCCGTTGCCCTGGTGACGCGATGCATTAGCTCCCGGATGCTGTGTCTGATCGCATCAGTCTGGAATGTGATCACCGTTTGTTTGTGCTGATAAGCCCCGAGGGGGCTGGGAGGGAGTGGGGAGAGCCAGGGAAGAGGGCTGCTCAGCTGCAGCGGGGACACCCAGGAGTAGGAGGGCCGACCTGCTCCAGGGGTGCGGGAGAAGTCGCAGGATGTGTGTGTCGGTGCAGGAAAGAACCACTCTGTGTAGCTTCTGATGCCTGTTTGGTACCAAGAGATGATTTTCCCCTTAAGATCCCCCCTTGGGTTGGTGGGTGAGAGTAGCATCAAAGGAGTCCAGTGCTGTTAATGGAAGATCCCCCGCCAGACAGGTTAGAGGGTTGAGACTGTAAAGGCTGGTGGAGAAGCAGCCCTACGCTGATCAGGCTGGGAAGGGGAGAGGGACAGACCCAAACCTCCTGGGGCCTGGGACTGGAAGGGGCAGAGCTGTGGCTGGTTGGGGGTGAGACACTGATGTCTACGGGTCCAGGGAGCAAGGCGCATTGGCTGTTTGCTAGGCCTGTGCTCAGCAGGAGGAATGACGCCTGAGTGCAGTGGGGCTGGTGCTAAAGACCAAACCACGCACAGACAGCTCTTGCAGCCCGGTCCCATCTGCGCTGCTGAGCTACAGACGGGCCTGGCAAGAGCCAAAGTAGGAAAGGCAAAGCAGCGTGTGGCTCCGAGACGCCCAGAACAAGCTCCCTCAGCCTGCTCGTGTGGCTGCTCAGACTCGGCACGCTTTGCCCTGTGCCCCTTGAGGGTTTACTTTGTTTAAGAGTTTTATTGCTTTAATTGGATCCCTGGCTAAGGTGATTCTAATGCCTGTACAGGATGAGTCATTCAAGAGCTTGTGAGCAAGCTGTGAGCTCGAAGCATCTCCCCTTGCTGTGGCTCTCGGGGATCCCCCCAGCCGGTACTGGCTCCACTTGGCATTTTGCTGCTGGCTCAGGAAGTCTTTCTTGCAAGGGCAAAGCAGAGACCAAACTGCTGGGGGAGGGATGCCTCCTTGTACAGGGATGAGTGTGGTATTGAATCTTTTCCGTCACTCTTTACTCTTTCTTGCTTTCCTTCTGTTTCTACCCTGCTTTTCCCTGATCCAAGGAATCCCTGCATTCCTGTTCCAAGGATGCTGTAAGGCACAGCCTGTGTTGGTTCTTGTGATTCGGTGTGCACAGCCCCTGCTCTGGGCTCATCTCTGGTAACTAGCTCAGAAAAAGCCCCCTGCACCTCTTGACCACAGTCAGCTCTTAAATTCATGAGGAACCTGGTTCCCCTGGTGACCACGTGGCTCCTCTTTTGCTCTGACACAGCAGCGGTGCCTTGGAGAAGAGGATGTCCCCGGGGATCCCTGAAGATCCCCAGCAGGGGGAATTCGAGTCGGGGTGCCGCCAGCCCCAAGAAGCAGGAGCTGGGGGGCTGGGGGGCCGTCCCGTGCATCGTCCAGCCCTCTCAGCCTGCTCTCTCCCCTTCCCCGCAGGGCTCTGCCATCCCTCGCAGCACAAGGTAAAATGAACAAGATGAAAAACTTCAAGCGGAGGTTTTCACTCTCGGTTCCTCGGACAGAGACCATCGAGGAGTCACTGACGGAGTTCACGGAGCAGTTCAACCAGCTCAACAACCGGAGGAATGAAGGTAAGGAGCCCCCTGCCACGGTGCTGGGGCTGGTCAGGAGCACCTGAGGTCAGCGCTGCCAGCAAGCATCTCCACTCCAGCCCCCCCGGCCTTTCTCTGGGTGTGTTGACGTGTGGAAAGTTACTGCCCCTTTGTCGGTGTTGCTTTCCCCATCTATCCAGCAAGATTAATAACACCTTGTCATTAAATCTGATCTGAAGAGAGATTTATACTTGCATAAGGAAAGCCTTATAGGAGGGAAAGGTATTTGCACAAAACAGAGAGGAATAACACATCTGTGGTTAAGGTAGAGAGTGTGAAAGCGTGGGATCCCCTTCTGCCTGCCCAAAAGTGACAGTGGTGTTTGAGCCCTCTCCCAGGCTACAGGCCGACACTTCCACCAAGCCAAAGGCGCTGTTCTCTCTGTTCAGGGGAGCATCTGGGGCTCGCTGAACCATCCTTTGCTCCCGGACCCACAGCCTTCTCCTGGGGTGCAGTTTTCAAGGTCCCAGGGAGCAGGGAGGTTTAGGGTTAACACCTCCACGAGCAGAATGGGGCACATCCCTTCTGCAAACAGAGCAGCCGCCTCGCTGCAGGCTGGGGCAGGCTCTGCTGTCTCCGGCTACGGGCATATCAAGGGAGAGGCAGTGCTTGAGGCATAAACTGGGAGCAGATCCCGTTGAGGCGGCTGTGCATGGACAAGCAGGCGGAGCCGCTGACAGGCAGGCGTTTGGAAACCTGATAAAGTTAGACTTGATTCATCCAGGGGTAAATTCGCTGCTGCGGGTGCAAGGCTGAACCGCTCCTGGCGATAACGTCATGCGTTTGCTGCTGCCTCCTAGCAAAACAACTCGCTTTGCCACAGGCCAGCCCGTTCACGTGTCGGTACCCTCAGCTCCACTCAGGTCACGTTCAAGCTTTTTTCCTCCTCACCCTGCAGCCACAATTGCTAGAAACTTTTGCTGCAAGCAGGGGCTGAGGCCGTGATGTAATTGCCTGGCACTCCCACGTGCCCCAGCAGGGAGGGATCGTCTCTCTGCCAGCTAACCTGCTTGAAAGAAGAGATGCAGTAACCTAATTTAGAGCTGGCTTTCCTCACTCCTGCAGCTCCTGACACTCTTCTTATCCCTCCAGACACCCAGGCTGTCCTGAACAGCATCCCTTCACGGCCTCCTTCCCTGCTCCCCCCCCTGCACACACCTCCCCTCACACCCTAGCAAGCAGTGAGGGCTATAATTAGACTTGAGCCCTTAATTAGATGTGCAGAAGCTGTGGGGATAAAATGGTGCAAGGCTAAGGAAGTCCTGGGCACTGACAGCTGCTGCTGCTGTTGCCTTCCTTGGGGGACCTCTGCTCTGGGATGTCTGAGCCTGGGCTCGTTATCTCCGCCATGCAAACCGAGGCTTTGTCGGAGAGGTGATTTCCCCGTTCTTCTGCTGGTCATGGTTCTTCCTTTGCCCTTGAATGGCAAACCAGTGCATGCAGCATCTGCCTATCCCCCCCTGCTTTTGGTCTTGCTCCTGAGGTAGTGTCGTGGTTTAACCTCAGCCGGCAACTGAGCACCACGCAGCCGCTCACTCACTCCCCCCCACCCGGTGGGATGGGGGAGAGAATTGGAAGAGTAAAAGTGAGGCAACAGAGCACCACACAGCCGCTCGCTCACTCCCCTGCCCCTGCTGGGCTGGGGGAGAGAAACAGAAGAGTAGAAGTGAGCAAACTTGTGGGTTGATAAAGACAGTTTAATAATTGAAGTAAACTAAAATAATGATAATAGAATATGCAAAGCAAGTGATACACGATGCAATTGCTCACCACCTGCCGACCGATGCCCAGCCAGTCCCCGAGCAGTGCCTCCCCCCCGGCCAGCTTTACCCCCCCTCCCAGTTTATGTACTGAGTATGACGTCCCATGGTATGGAATGTCCCTCTGGCCAGTTTGGGTCAGTGTCCTGGCTGTGCCCCCTCCCAGCTTCTTGTGCACCTCCAGCCTTCTCAGTCGGTAGAGCATGGGAAGCTGAAAGGTCCTTGACTAGTGTAAGCTTTACCTAGCAACAACTAAAACATCGGTGTGTTATCTACATTATTCTCATACTAAATCCAAAACACAGCACTGTACCAGCTACTAGGAAGAAAATTAACTCTAGCCCAGCCAAAACCAGGACAGGTAGCCAGGAAAGAATAAGAGCAAAGTCAGAGCAGACTGAGCCTGGGACCAGGACCGAGGGTGTTCCCGACCCCGTGGGTAGCGGCTGGACCAGTACTAGACTGTGACATGGTATGATTAGGAGATGCTCCTGCCTGGACTCGGGAATGCATCAGGGGCTCGGGGTCTGCCAAGCTTCACCCCGTGGGGTACGGCTCCTCATGTGCCGCTACGGGACACCCCGGTGCCAGCCCCCACCGGTCGGTACGTCCCTCCCTGCCTGGATGCAGCACGTGCTGGCCCCCTGCCACAGCTTTCCCCCCTGGTGCCCCCTGCTCCCTGGTGCATGGTTCCCAGTTTGCACCCAAGCCCTCTCCCACGCAAGACAGGCAAAACACGCTGCCCCCGCCGTACCCCCCACCCCGAGCCCGCTCCCTCCTGCCCGAGATCTCTTGATTAAGTTTCCCTTGGGGATTGTAAACAACCCCGAGAAGTCACCTCCACAGTGCCCTTAATCTCCGTCTCCTGCAGGCTGCGGCTGTTGTTTATGAAGAGCCCTGACAACCACATTTGTCTGAGGCATCTCTCCGGCCATTTAATAAACCCCTCGTGGCTGGGAGCTCTTTGCCCACAGCCCTGTGCCCAGAGGACTTGGTGGGGGCTCGGCAGGGGGAAGGTGGAGGCACCAGTGCCGGGGGGCAGAGCTGGCGGAGGCACGAGCCCCGGCACCCTGAGGTGAGGAGGCATGGTGTGGGAATGTGATGCTTCAGATGTGTAGGGGGACAGGATCGTTTTGGTGGTGCTGGAGGGGTTGAGAAGGATGTTTATGTGCAAGTTGCTCTTCTGCAGGGTTTGGTGGTGAGGAGCTGCCTTGTGGGAGGTGCCTGGTCTGGAGAGGGCTCTGACTTTAGGGAAGCAGCAGTTCTCTCTGAGGTGTTGGTCTCCTCTGTTTTACAGATGGAGAAATCAAGGTGCAAAGAGACAAAATGACTTTGCTAAAGTAGTGCAGAAAGCTGGTAGCAGAGCTGAGATTAGACCCGTAGCAGTCACTCTTGTGCTGCTTCTTTTCCCCATGAAACAGGGAAAAGCTTTGCTTCAGGTTTCACCTTCCTTGCTCAGGATCTCTGAACGTGCCCCTGGGGCTGTCTCTGCCGTCTGCATGGCAGGCAGGCTTGCCTGCAGAGATCTCTTCTCTCCTGGTGAACAGATGACCCGTGACAGTTCATGCACTGTGATCACTCGCTCCAGAAAAGAGTGCTAATCACAGCAGAGATCAGCACATCATTTTTTCTTTCATCACCTCACACAGCTCCTCAGGGAATTGCTTGCAGTTTTTATTTTCCCTCCAGCATCAGAAATCACAGGTTATCAGCATTCACAGGTCACGGCAGTCTGCAAATCCTACACTTCGGTGGCTGTGAGTGGTTCCACCTGTCCTGGGAGGAGGGTGATGCAGAGGCCAGAAGAACCTTTTCATTAGATGCTCCAAAAGCACGTGTAGAGCTGCTCTGCCTCTGGCAACAGGACAAGGCAAGGCCTTCTCATGGGTAGAAACCTGCCTCGTCTGTTGGTGGTGCCCTGGGAAATCCCCAATTCTGTCCTCTCCATCCCGTAATTCTCATGACCTCACCCACAGAGGCTGATAAAACGAGGCCTGAGAGAAGCAGAGCTGGCAAATGGAAAAGCAAACAGCTTTCCAGCCTGGACACATCCCGTCACGGGCAATGTCACCTTGATGGAGTCTGACAATGCAGAGAGGGAAAGGGGGTGCCTAATTCACTCACAGCCTGAATTGGGGCGTCTGATGCCCCTCCGCCCTGCCGTGCATCCCTCCCGTGGGCAGCACAGCCTTCCCTCGGCCGCAGCGGCTGCTCAGCTGCAGAGGCAGAGGTGGAAGAAAGCCCCTGGGCGAAGGAGAGCCCAGGCTGGGCTCTGTGCAATATCTGCTATCCTTGACAAAGGCTAGCACCGTCTCCACATCCTCAGAGATGGGGAACCTTCTCCATGGCTGCTCCAGCCTCACATTAAGGCTGAAGGCAAGGAGGCTCCTTCCTTTCCTCCTGGGCTTCCCCAGTCACACATTTCTCTCCATACTCCAGATTTTCAGAGGTATCAGGTCTTGGTGTCTCCCATTTGCTTTGATAAGAGCTGGTGGCATTCAGCAACAGCTCCTATCTACGCCAAGGCTTTGCCCCACAACAGCTACAGCCTGGTCTGTCCTGCGAGGCCAAATAAGGTCTCGGTGTTCAGGCTGCAAAGCCTGCATAACTCCCAGTTTGCAGTGGCATAAATCAGAGCCAGATCTGGCCTTTGGGGTGCAAGAAGTGATGATGAGGTGGAGGAAGGAGGATGAATAATCCAAGACCTGAGTGCAGCCCTGCCTCATGAGTATAACAGAGCTTTGAGAAGAGAGTTCACACTTAGCAAAGTAATTAAAAGTTGTAAGTCAGGCAAGCAGTGAAGGGTTCTGGCCCCCTTCCTTGGGAGATCAAAGCTTGTTTGGGCAGAGGCAATGTTTAAATATATTTATAAAAAAAGGTGGGAGGCTCGTCAAAGGCAGCCGCCGTGTCTGCGGTCTCACTTTAATTTGCTTTGATATCCCATGCAGCCTTATTATTTGCAGAGTGTCAGGGCTCGCTGTCATCTACATGAAATGCCAAGCAGAATCAAACAGGCCCTCAGGTTTGCACGCTCACAGCTTCACGTCTTCTCCCACGAGCACCCGGCAAGGTCCTCCAAGCCCGGGGGCAACCCCAGCCCTGCGAGAGCATCTCTGCAGGACTGGGTATCCCCGGGTGCTGTGGGCACCTCGCAGTGGTGCAGGATGGACTGGGCTGGCAAATCTCGCCTGCCCTCTCTGGCCCCAGGGCAGCCAAAACACCTTCCCCCTCATCTCTGCAAGTCGTCTGTGTATTTTTACATGCTTTTCCCATCATGTGGTAGTTCACATCTTTTGCGTAGCCCATTCCCCTTTGCATGCACTAGAATGCCCAGGTTGTCATCTTACCTCTGGCTTTGTCTGATGCTCTTGTAGATGAGGAGAGATTGGCACTAACCTACCTGATGGGCTGCTGGTTCAGAGTGACAGTGCTGCTGGTTTGCACATTTTGGGGACAGGCTGCATCTTTTACCAAGTCTTTGGGCTTGTTTACCTATGGGAACCAGCACAAATTCACCCAGACTATCATTTAAAGTGGATTAGTTGAACTCCATCCTGTCAGATTTTAAATGGCCTTTGGTTTTTTTTCAGATAATTTGCTTAGGAAGTGAGCAAGTTAAAAAGATTTGATTCAATTTAATTGATCCGTGTTAATTTTATACCTGTGGTTAATTCAGGGTAAGTTGCCTAACTGTTCCTGCACAGACAGATGGCCAGAAAGGGACGGGGACCAGAGTCCCGCAGCGGTCCTGGGAGAAGGGGTGACTCTGTGCCTTGTTCTTGCCTGTCCACCCAAAAACTCCTGGCAGTGTTTCAGATGCTCCCGGGCCCAGTGGCATGGGCTGAACCCATCCCTTAGGTGCGGGCTGTCTATCAAGGACACCTTGCATCCCTTAGCTCGCAGGTCCCTGGTCCCCCAGTGACCATGGCACGAAACCGCATCTTTTCCCAGGTCACTTGCCTGCCACCTCTCATCCGTCAGATGAGCAAACTGCAGCCAGGTCCCAGCCCTGCTCACCACCCCGTGAAAGCCAGCCCTCCCTCTCCAGTCTTCAGCAATGAGATCATTGCTGGCTGCCTGAGCACACTGGGATCAGTGAGCTGAAATCTGCATTGGGCATAGCAGGGGATTGTCTCTGTGCAGCTCAGGGAAGGGGCTTGGCAAGGGGCAGGGCTCGGTGGCTCAGCCTGGGACATCACAGGTCCTCCCTGGGGAGTTTCCCTCCTGCAATGTTCCTCCTTGTTCTGGGGAAATAACTGCAGGGTGCCTGGATGCATGGAGGACACCAATGCTTTATGGCAGGATCCTTGGACCCTGGAGGCCTTGCTAACTTGGAGAGTAGCTGCAAAGTTCAGACGAGAAGGGAGAGAGCTGTATGGCCACCGGGAAGGGGACAAAACGGTCGTCCCTGCTTGGCCCCACACCTTTTCAGAGGGAGATGCATCCCTCCCTTGGCGAGGTGGTTCTCCTCCATCCCAGCACACCCAGTTAGTGCTGCTTCCTTCTGAACAGCCCCTTGGAAAGAGCATCCATGTGAATTGGGGGAATCCCCTTCGCTGGGGTCCAGGCGACCTGCGTTGAACTCGTCAGTGTTTTGCTGTGCCGCTGTCTGGGTCTATGCGTGCCAGAATATTCCTGCCAACCAGCTGTTAATTACAGAGTGAGGAGGTTTAAGTGCAAGCCTCAAACTGGAGACCAGAGGGAGCTCAATGGCTTATTTTGTTCTGATTTCTTGCTCCTTTCAGGGTTTCTTGGGCTGGGTGAGGCTTCACACCTGGAGTCCCAAGAGAAGAGTTATTTTTCTGAGCTGCTTTGGTTTTCAAGAGAGCTTTTGTGCTTCTCAGGACTGTGTGTCTGGCTAAGTGCATCTGGTTGGGGCAGGAAAGCCTGGAGTGTTTTGTTTCGCAATAAGTGACTCTTCAGCCTTTAATCCCAAACACCTTCTGAGAAACGGTCACATCCTTGGAGGAAAGTACCCTGGTGTCTGTTAGTTTTGGAGGTTCTTGAGGCAGATTAGGTATGTGTGCTTGTAAGCTCCCCAGAGGCAGGGCTGTCTTTCTGTTTTGCTTTTGTACAGACCTAGCACAGAGGGATCCAGAGCCACGGTCAGGCGCCTAGGTGCTCCTAAAGTGCAAATCGTGTTTTGTCTAATGTGACGTTAGTGAAGATAAGGCTGGGTGGTTAAGATGAATACTCACCCGTGCAAAACCCCATGGTGCTGCTGCAGAGGGGTGAGCTGCTTGGCAGTGCTGCCTGGCGGATTGAGCACTGGATTGGGACGTGGGAGATCTGGGTGGCCTTGGGTGTGAAGCAGTTCCCCCCTCTGCATCCCCCTCCCTGTCTGTCAAAAGACACCTTCATTGCAGGGGGCTGCATGAGGGCGCTTTGGGGGTGCTGCTGAGCAGAGCTGTGTGGGTGGCGATGCACCAGGAGTCTGGAGCAAAAAGCAGGTATTCCCTCTGCCTGCTGGATATAGAGAAGGAAGAAGACTTTCCCATGGCCCCAGAGCATCTCTGGACCTCCCTGCCCTGCTCTCACTCTCTTTTCTCCAAAGCAGGTGCCTTGGGCCTTGGCACTTCTGCTACTACTCCAGCAGCTCACTCGCCTTTCTCTTTGTCCTCAGACCTGGCTCAAGGGCACCTGCAGCTGGGACACCTGGGCAGGGAATTCCGAGCAGACACCAGCCCCATCTCCCCCTCCGAGGTGGAAGGCCAGTCCCCGATGGCCGTGCGCTACCGCAACAACAACCAGCGCCGTTTTTCCATGGAGGCAAGTACTGCTGCAGGCTGGGGCGGGCAGAAGGGACGTGGCAAGTTCTGGTTGTCACCTGCCTGCTGGCTGGAAGAGCCGGTGTTTGGTTCGTGGGGACCTGGCAGTCTCAGACACAAGCCCTGACGTCCTTTTGGGTGCACTCAGCATGACTCCCATGGTACCTGACAAAGCCCAGTGCATATCCCCATGCACACGCATATGCACACACACCTTCCCTTTTCCTTTGACTAAGGGTCCTGCAGATGCTGCACCCATTGCTTCGGCGTTAATATCAGCTCTGGTTAGAGAGCACTTCCCTTGAATATCTCTGTACAGCCCTCCTTTCATCAGATGCATTCATCACCCGCCTTTCTGGCCCTCTCCGCAGGATGTCAGCAAGCGTCTCTCCCTGCCCATGGACATCCGCCTGCCCCCCGAGTTCTTGCAGAAGCTGCAGATGGAGAGCCCAGAGTTCCCCAAGCCCCTCAGCAGGATGTCCCGACGGGCTTCCCTCGTAAGTCTCACTGTGCAGAGCGAGCAGTGCCGGGCACAGAATCTCACTTCATGCGTACAAGTCCCAGCCATCAGATGCATGTGCTGATTGCCACCCACCCATGCAGTCATGCCCTGCTGTGCAAGCTCCCTCGTACCCCCTGTGTGTCGTGGAGATACACACACCCCCACATCCCTGCCCATGCAAATCCCTTTCTGCACACTCCCAGCAGCACACATTCGCCCCACCATGCACATATGCATCTCTTCCCCGTGTCACTCCTACACATGCACATCTGCATCCTGCTGTGCAAATCCCCAGGCCTGCACATTCCTTCACTCACCTCTGCACATACCTGACTTTCCTCTTGTCCTGGCTCCTTCCAAATGGGAGGAGGTGGAAAGCCTCCTGCGGTTTAGCAAGTGCTGGAGCCTCTGCTAGTTGAAATGCAAATGCCGATAAATAATGAATTAACCTTTGCATTAGTGTTGGCATTTCAGTTTCTTTACTGCAGAGCATCAGCATATGTAGGAGCAAAAACCAGGTGCCTTGTTTACAAATGTGCAAGCATGTGTCCTGCTGCCCGGGAGTGCTCAGTGCTATACAGATACAACAGCGAGGTCTCAGCAGGCGTCTTCAGATCTGGCATGCCTATTCAGGGGGAGGGGGGAGAAAAGGAGAGCTTGCGTTTACCTGCCTGTTCTGTCTAATCAATAAAATAGACACAGCCAGAGCAACGTGCCATTAATATTCATGGTCCCCTCCATGAATAAGGCATGCCTCTGCAAAACTCGCAGTATGGCTCTGGGGGGTGTACAGCACCTCAAATTGCAGCAGGCACTTCATTTCCCTGCTCGGGACACATGGAGTGAAAAATCCACTATGTTCCCCTGGGATTTGCCGGTCCAAATCCAGCCTGTGTGAGCAAGAAAGCAGCTTCCCCGCTGTGTGTGGCAGCTTGTGAGAGCTTGGTGGTCTGGTCGGTGCCTGTTGCAAGGAAAAAGCCTTCCCGTGGGGCAGATCTGGTGAGCAGGGGAGGCTGCAAGAGCACCCCAGACCTGGGGCTGCTGGTTCTCCAGGCAGAGCCCTGGGCACAGTGCGAGGGGCTCCTTCAGTGCCCTCCCCCCGGGACCCTTTCCCTGCACAGCCCGTGTCTTTGCCTGCTGATTGACAGCTGTCCGTCCAGCTCCATCTGCTGATGGCGAGCGGGATGGCATGAGCCCTTGGCTCAGGAGAGGGGGCAGCGCTGCTGGGTTTGGGGGGCCTTTAGCTGGGCCGGCGTCAGAGCTGGCTGCTGGCCTGGGACTACACCAATGCAAACATATTTTGTGGGAGAATGACACCGGTTTGTTAAGCTTAAGGAGCAATGATTTGCCCTGGGCCTTGGGCCCTGTTGTGCTGGGAACCATCCCCTGCTCTGGCACACAGATAATCCCAACTAACCGAGGAGGTGTCTCTGTCCCCACAGAAAACTGCAATTTCAGGGGTCTGCTAGGAGCGACACCTAAATCTGTGGCCTTGCAGTGGTTGCCCTTCTTGCACTGGGTACACGAGAGCAGGTCTCAGCGATATGTTAAAGAGTTACTGTTCCAAATGGGAAAATGTCCCTTTCATGCTTGATTTGAACAGCACTCAGAGAAATGAACGGAGTCACGGTAAAGACCAGGATGGAGGAAAGCACTCAAGGAAAGGGCTGGGCATCAGCAGCAGGATCCCATGAGGCTTCTCTGGTAGACAAGGCATCGGCTCTTTGCAAATCACAGCTCCTGTTCGACTCGGCCACTGCTGGTGTCGGGTCAGGGTGGTGGGTGAGAGGAGAAGGGAATTGCAGCGGTGGCAGCGGGAAGGGGCAGTCGTGCAGGCTGCGGCTGCCCTGGGGTACGGGGTGCAGGTGCCATCCATTTCGCTTGAACAAGCCAGTGGGTTGTGAGGGTTTTGTGATTGATTGCCTGGTCACCTGCACTGCTTTTCCAGGAAAGTAATAGACTTTATGTACTTAGATCAGCTGGGCTGCTGCATGCAAACACCTGCCTTGATTGGTCTGCCCCCAAAGCTGTTACTGTCCAGTGTCCTTGACCTTCCCCCCCAGGAGGTGAAGCCATCCCTGGATGAGATCTCCCCCAGTGATGTTTTCCTTTCTCTCTTACAGTCAGATATCGGGTTCGGGAAGCTGGAAACTTATGTTAAACTGGATAAACTGGGAGAGGTGAGTAGACTATGAAACACCTGTAAGGATTTAAATTAAGTTAGAAGGGCAGCTTGAAGTGCAAAGGGCAGACTGTAGCCAAATGTCTTCAATACCTAACAATTTTTAGACCAGGTCTTTCTGTGGACTGCAGACTTGGCCCTCTAGCTTCAAATGAGCCTTCCTGCAAACATTATGGAGTATATCAGTGTTGTGCCACCCTAATAAATGGTCTGCATGGCTTGTGTTTTCTCTGTCCCCGCAGGGCACTTACGCCACTGTCTTCAAGGGACGCAGCAAGCTGACCGAAAACCTTGTTGCCCTGAAGGAAATCCGCCTGGAGCACGAGGAGGGGGCACCTTGCACGGCCATACGGGAAGGTGAGGACAGGAGGGGCTTTTCCCCATCGCAGTCCCTCATGCGCAATGCCAGGTCACAGGCGGATTTGGGACGGGGGGTGCAGGTGGACGTATATACCTGCAGTCCCGCACAGTGCCCAGATTCTGCTGCCCCAACCTGCCACGTCCTCTCCTTGCAGTGTCGCTGCTGAAGAACCTGAAACATGCCAACATCGTGACCCTGCACGACATCATCCACACGGAGCGCTCCCTCACCCTCGTCTTCGAGTACCTGGTGGGTCTGGGGGGGCTTTCTGCGGGAACGGGGGGACGGCTGCATTTCTGCGGGTGGGTGATGGGGACCGAGGGAAGGACAGGCTGACGTGTGCTTCCCGTTGCAGGACAATGACCTCAAACAGTACCTCGATAACTGTGGGAACCTGATGAGCGTGCACAATGTGAAGGTAAGACGGTGCTGCCTGGGACCCTGTACCCTTGCCTTTCCCCGCACGTGGGGAGCTCACCGTGAGTGCAGTCCAGGGTGTTGCAGGGCTGAGTGAGGCTGAATACCCCTTCTCTCTTCAGTTCAGCCTTCTTACTCTTCTTTGACCTTTTTCAGCCTGCTCTGATGCTCCACCGGCTTTTCTCCAGTCACTGCCAGTGTAAATAAAATTACTGTACATGCAGACTTTGGTTGCCCCATTTTCTGGATTGCTGGTGACGGGCTTGAACGCTTGTCTACAGTGCATGTCACCCCAGGCCAGCTTCAGGGGGGCTTTCCTGGCCGTGAGTTTGAGAACCCTTGAGACAGACTCACTTTTGGTGCCCGTGTCCCTGTGCTAAATGCAAACCCCTTCACCTCCCCACAGATCTTCATGTTCCAGCTGCTGCGTGGTCTGGCTTACTGTCATGGGAGAAAGATCCTGCACCGAGACCTCAAACCCCAGAACCTGCTCATCAACGAGAGAGGAGAGCTCAAGCTGGCTGACTTCGGTAGGTGGGCCTCTCTGGGGAAGATGTAGCATTGCAAGGAGGTGCAGCTAGGTGCAGCTCCTTGATGCCCATCCCTTTCATCCTCAGGACTAGCCAGAGCCAAGTCAGTCCCTACAAAAACATATTCCAATGAAGTGGTCACGCTGTGGTACCGGCCCCCCGATGTCCTGCTGGGATCTACCGAATATTCCACACCCATCGACATGTGGTGAGTCACGGCTCCAAACTGAGCTTCCCGGGGTCTCCGAGACGGTGGGTCGGGCATTTCCATCCGTCTGCCAGTGCAGTACCATACATGCCCACAGTGTTGGTTACACCAGAGGGTGGTGGGCTCTCCCAGAGGCCATGCTGTTTTCTGTGTCCCCTGGGGCTCAGGCTCTTTGGAGCACACTGTCCGCATCAGGGGCGAATGGTTACCTGTAGCAGAGAAGGGGGACAGCTCCTGGAGCTGATCTCCCTCTCCAGGAACCTCAGCCCTGGCCAAGGGGCGGTGGGGTGTCCACAGGGCTTCTCCCTCACTAATCCCAGGGCTTCTTCTGCTGCTCTAGGGGTGTTGGGTGCATCCACTACGAGATGGTCACCGGACGGCCCATGTTCCCCGGCTCCACGGTGAAAGAAGAGCTGCATTTGATCTTCAGGCTGCTCGGTGAGTCTTCTGCTGTCTCCCAAATCCCCACGCGAGGGCAGTGGCTGACTGCAGGAGCGGTGACAAGGCGCAGCCTCGGGAGCCTGGAGAGAGCCCGCTGGCAAAGCCTTGCCGCGGCGTGGGCAGGCGTGGGCAGAGGCTGCCCGCAGCCCCTCTCCAGGCTTGCAGTCAGCAGAGGCGTGAGGGCGAGGGGCTCCACACCGGCTGCCCCGTGGGATGCGTGGGCGAGTCCCAGCCTGCTGGGAAAATTCGTGCCCTCTCTCCTGGGCAGGACGCTGGCCCTCGCATGCGTCAGGCTGTTCTCTCTGCACCAAATGAGCATGACAGGTTTCCCTCTCTCCCCCTCCCAGGAACCCCAACAGAAGACACCTGGCCTGGAATAACATCCAATGAGGAGTTTAAGGCTTACAATTTCACGCAGTACCGAGCCCAGCCATTAATAAATCACGCCCCCAGGTACCTCCTTGAGCAGGGACACATAAAGCACGGTGGGCTTGCACTGGTTATAAACGGGAGCCTGGGGAGACCAGTTTCATTTCCTCCTTGTGGTGCTGGCAGCTTCTGAATGCAGCTGCGCACCGGAGGTCTCAGATGCCACTTGTCCCTTGCATTGACTATTGCAGTGTCTCCTGGGTGCAATAATGCTCCTTTTTTTTATTTCCTCCCTCTCTCAGGCTGGACTCAGAAGGCATTGACTTGCTGATGAACCTCCTTCTGGTGAGTGGTAGAGCAGTCCAGGTGGATGGCAAAGGGATTTGCTGAAGTGAAGGTACTCTGGCTGCCCTCACACTGATTTTGGAGCCAGGCAGGAAAGGAGCTGTGACTGCAGAATAAGCCATGGCCCTACACCTATGGCCTTGTAGATGCTATCCCAAACCACCTCCCATTAAGGACGGTGAACCATCCTTCACCCTGTGTTCTCTCACACACAAGTGAGAGGACACAAACCTGATGATCCATAAGTACGACGTGGCCAGTGCGCTCCTGTGGTCACAGCACAGACAGTTTGTGCTGTCCCTTGTGCACATGCAAATGGCACTGGTAATTGCCTGCACGCCCCCATGGTGTGCACAGTGGACACGCTGTTGCCCACAGAGCATATGAAATTGCTTGGGCACTTACATGTGCATAGGTGCACAGATGTGCACGCACCCTGTATTGGGGCCTCTGTGCCGTCTCGCACGTGCAGACTGTGTGTAATTGCCTTTCTCTGGGGCTCTGTGCAGTACGAAGCCAAAAGCCGGATTTCGGCGGAGGCAGCCCTGCGGCACGCTTACTTCAAGAGCCTGGGAGAGCGGGTGCATCTCCTGCCTGACAGTAAGTGCACGCTGTCCTCTTGCCTGGGTGATGTGGAGCAAAGAGCTTCTTGCAGCCCGAGGGTGGTGGTTTGCAGCCAGGTCTCTTTGGATGCCTCTTGGCTTTGCTCACTCAGAGGTGCTCCTGCAGCAGAGTGGGGTGGGAGCTTGGTGGCTGCGAGAGCAAGAAACAATTTGGGTAGGACAATGTAGAGTAGGAGTAGGAGTGCGAGAGAAAAGCTCTGATGAGGTGCAGTGCTGCACTTGGGCACTGCCGTCCCTCCTGGCTCCAGGTTTGCAGACCGCTGCCAGCTCAGTCAGCTGGACTGACCCCTGTCTCTCTGCCCCCTCTGCCTAGACGTCTCCATCTTCTCCCTGAAGGAGATCCAGCTTCAAAAGGACCCTGGCTACCGAGGCTCAGCCTTTCAGCAGTCAGGTAGGACTGGGGAAAATCATGCTGACCGCTCCCAGATGGTGCCATGGACTACGCTGGCACTGGGGTTACTCCAGGGGGTCCCGCATAGGAAAAAGCCAAACCTGATCCCTGCTTCCTGCTTTAGTCCACAAATTACCCCTGGGGCATCCTTGCTTGTCACCTACCGTGGTACCAAAGTCACATCTAGGTGCCCTGAGGTGCAGCTCCCTTCTCTGTGAATGCCATGGGCTTGTAACCTCCTAACCCAGAGCACCACAGGGCCCAGCTTCTCTGCAAAGTGCTGCTCGCCATCTGACCTCTCTGACCCATCTCTCTCTCTCTTCCTCAGCCCGAGGGAAGAACAGGAGGCAGAGTATATTTTAAACTTGGATCTCGTGTTCCCCTTGTCACCATGGAGATCAAAGCACTGAGAAAGGAGACGGCAACACGCTCCCACCTGACCCACCGCAGAATTACTGACTCGAGCAGGACGATGCTGAAGCACCCTTGGCTGCAGGCTCTCCCCTGCCTGTCCCCACAACCACAGCCCCTAGCAGCTGCTGTTGATGGACCTGTGGCCTTTTTCCCCTCTTATTTTCATGTTGCCCCCATCAGACGTGAGCTGCCACCCTCTGTGCCGGTGCTCTAGTGAGGAGCTGCCCTGGGCATTGCCCAGAGTGCAGGATCGTGTGCTGTCCCAGGGAGCCGCTCGCTGCCCTCAGGGGGTGAGCCAGGCACGGGGAGGTTTTGTGAGCAGGGGGTGGTATCTCCAAAGCTGGGCTGTGGATCGTAGCGTTTGGCCCAGGCAGGCATTTCTGAAAACGTACCTTTACTCAGACAACCTGCTCTGCACCCCCTGTTTCTTGGGGAGACACTTTGCAGGTCCGTTATGAGTCGGGGGCATGAACCAGCCTGGCACTGGAGAGACTGCACCTGAAGCACAAAAACCAGGGCAGCCCTCCCTTATTTGCCCTTGCCTCTGCCTACATAACCCCTTTTTGTCTCCCCATCTTTGGTACCTGAATCCTGACAAGGATGGAGCAGCTGGGAGGAGGGGGCTTCCCATTGCTTCCCCCAGCATCTCCCCCTCCTTGCCACCATTGCATTTCCAAATTCGGTCAGCTGGCTGCTCCCCAGGGATGTTCCGAGCTGAGAGCAAGGGCTGGCTTAGCCCACCCGGGGTGCAGGTACCTGCTGGTAGAGCTGTGCAGAAGCGGGGCCAAACTAGCATCGGCTCCGTGCTGCCTCCCGTGGCTGCGCCGAGCCCTTCAGCCGGCCTTTCCCAGGCACCGATGGAGCGGCCCCTTTCTCATCGCCGAGCCTGCTGCACGCCCCCAGCCCACGACCCTCTCTGCCATCGTCACAAGGGGCAGGACACAGTTCCCAGCCAGCGTCTCGGGAGCGCATCTTCCCCCATCCCATTGCTGAGCCCCACGCGACGTGGCAGAGCCCGAGCTGTGCAGCCTCTCCGTACCAAAGTGTTGCACACACCCACCTCAGTGCGGTTCTACCCAGAGGAAGGGGGAGAGGTGCCAAACCTCCCACAGCTCAGCTGCGGGAACCAGAAATAGACCTGGAGAGAAGCAAATCATCCCTCAAACCTCATCGCCTGGCCTCTACATTTGTAGCCAACGCCAGATCATACCAGCCCTGACTCAGATCGATGCCGTGGAACTGAGGTGCGTGCTTAGATCTGAGCATGCTTTGCTGGCTGAGGACTGCTCCTGGTGCGTTTTCCCCTCTGTACACTTCAGGAACGTGCCAAATCCATCCTGAGCAAAGAGGCCCTGCTGCAGCTCTCCCCCGCAGCCTGCAAACAGCCTGAAACGTCTTCAAGTGTGTGAGCGTTGCAAGAAGTCTCTCTACTGTATAATATTCACATCCTTTTCTTGTCTGTCCCGGATGACTAGTCCTCTCGCCCACCGGTCCTCCAGCCCATGGCTGTGGCCAGGAGACTCTGGACTTGGCAAGCGCTGGGACTGTCACCTGGCACTGGGACCGGCAGGACATACTGATGTCTTAACCCGTCACGCTCCCAGCCTGGGAGGCATTGCTCAGGGGACGGTAACTCTCCATGCCGCTGTTTCCCCATTGAGCCAGGAGTGAGAGCTCTGTTTTCTGCTTTGCTGTGCAGCATTTCTTCTGTGATCCTCAGAAAATGCAAAGCGTGAGGATAAACGAGGAGACCCTGGAGCTCCCCAAAGCTGCTGGGGCAACTCCTCCCTGTGCCAGTGCTCGATGCAATGCGCCCTCTGAGCTTCCCCCATCAGACCAAAGCTGTTCATTCGGGTTTGTCCTAGACAAGCATCCAGACGTCTGCATTGTTTGAGGTTTGCCCATCCCTGCTCAGTTCCCTTCTCGGTATGTCCAGCATACAGCAGGCTGAATAGTTCATTAATTGTTTCCATTTGATAGGGAAGAGTATGAATAGCCATCAGCCACCAGTGACGCATTTCACCCTGATGTCAGGGTAGTGTTTTGCCTGGTTTCCTACACCCGGCTCCTGCTGCATGGGGCTTTTCAGTAGGGTGGTTCACAAAGGGAGGTGTTGGCTGGAGTAAGTCTGAACTCTCACACTGTCATCTTTTCTTTCACAAAGGCATTTTATACAGGAATTTCCTTGGCATGGCAGGGATCTGTGGTGCAGACTTGCACTTCCCAGGGCAGCCAGCTCCCGTCAGGAATTAGCAGCTCGGCAGGCAGGCCAGCTAACGGACGCAGCGTCTCCTGTGCTCCTGCGGCAGCACCTTCAGGTACATGGGGCAAAGAGTGCTGACGTGCCTGGGGGAGCAGAGCCCCCCCTGTGCTCTGTGAGCACAGATTGGACCAGGGGAAGCAGGAACACCCTCTACCCACTCTTGGGAAGCCCATTCGACCAGGGGAAGCAGGAACACCCTCTACCCGCTCTCGGGAAGGACACGTTTGACCTGTCTTTGTGCAGTTTTCTTGCTTGGTGTTACCATACCTATGCACTGAGATTGCCTTGGGCATAAAGCTTGCTGGGGCATAGGGTGCCCAGCTGAGCCGTCCCGCTTTCACACTGGGAGGACGGAGGCAGGCCATACCAGACCACCAGATCGGTGTGGTCTCAGCTTTCCCCCCATAAGAGAGGTATTCCTGCTGAAGGTCAAGGTCACCTACGGAAACTGCTGGGGAGAAACGTTGAGGAAAAGACCTAGCAGTGACCGCGTAGACAGGACTGCTTTACCCAGGATCAGATAGCAAAGACAAAGGGCCTGTTAGCTGCTGTTGATTCTTTCGTAGCCTTTGCCTTTCCTCCTACAAATCCTCCCTAAAGGAGACACTATTACTTATTAGCCCCGTGCACTACTAACAGCCCGAATTTAAGATAACCCCTTTTGTTCCACTGCATTTAGTGGATATTTGATTCCTATTCAGGAGGGCGATAGTGTGTGTAAATATTTGGTGCCCCGCTGAGCAAGGTTTGATTTATAAGCTCCCATTGCTGCTGCACTTGCACGTGTCGGCTGGCAGAGCCCCGAGCATCTGATCTCCCACGGCACGCCGCCCGCCAAAGCATTCCCAGCTGCAAAGAAAAGGAGCTGCAGGTTGGCAGCGATTAGAGCCCGGAGCCAAATCCCCCTTCTCCATCTCCTGGACAGTGTCACGGTCCCCCTGAGGACCGCGGGGTCTGGCTGGGTTTACGAGGACCAAGATCCCTTGGATGCCCCAGTTTATAAAAGCCCTGAGCAGAGCGGTGCCCCGCTCCTCCCTGCATGCAAGGGGAGGGAATCTGCAGCGGGGCTCCCGCTGCTGATGGCATCGCTCCCTGCCTGCCCCGGGCAGGCTTCCCCCAGCTTTTGGAGCGCCAGCCGGCTCCCAAGCTGGATTTTTAAAGTAGCGCTAATGAAAATGCTGGGAACGTCTGTGGCTCTCCAGCATTTTTTTCATTTTGTGGGTTCTCCCATCCACCGCTTTGCGGAGTAGCTGGCACTCCTCGCAGATGGGGAGTTTTGACAAAAGGAAACTGTTGCTTTGTCTTCCAGACATTCTTCTTGCAATTTTCTTTTTTACCAGTTCTGGTGGAAAATGGAGTTTTGGCTGTGCCCTCAGGAAAGGCTGTATTCTTTCATCTCTCCAGCTGATAGCTAGTTAAAGAAATGTAAGTAAATAATGTGTAAAGCAAGGTCTGTATTACGGGACAACAATAAAACTTACAGGCAGAGCTATTTAATTTCACCCTCTCCATACACACATGCACACGCCTTTCCTGGCCCAACCCATTGCCAGATCTATGTTCAGATTTTAAATAACAAAACTACATTGTATCTTGGAGACTAAGGACAAAATAAGTGGATTTTTTCCTCTCCCTTACACATGATGAAAAAAAAAAAAAAAAAAAAGGCGTTTTCCCACCAGATCTATGTTCAGATTTTAAATAACAAAACTACATTGTATCTTGGAGACTAAGGACAAAATAAGTGGATTTTTTCCTCTCCCTTACACATGATGAAAAAAAAAAAAAAAATAGAAGGCCGTTTTCCCAAGCTTCTCAAATGTTTTGTTTGGTTTTTTCCCATGACTTATCTTCAGCCAGAAATTAGGATAGCATAAAATGGGAGGCCAGAGCTCCCAGGAGCAGGCTAGGAACAGGCAGGTGGGAAAGCATTAGAGAAAGAGTCTAACCCGCTGGACTGAGTAACGTAAAAGGTTTAGTGTGTGTGTCCCAGGGCACGGGGAAGGGACCGGACCTGGGGCTGAGAGCCTGCCTGGCCTTGCGTGGCCAACCTCTGCTTTCACCAGCGTAAATCCCATGTCTTGCAGCCACGCAAGCCCAGGTTTGCTCAGAGCACGGAGCCAGCGATGGCTGAGCGGGTCCTGCAAGGGCCATCAGGTCTCGATCCTGAAATAATACATGAGGTTAAAAGTGACACGATCTCACCCGCCAGAAGTTGTGGCTCTCTGCCTGACCGTGCTGCCCCAGCCATGCCGCACCGCTGTCCTGTCTCTGTACGCTTCAGTCTTGCAAGAAAAGCGTTTGGATGTCCCCTTAGCGCTCCCCACTAGCGATGTCTGGGCACAAGCGCTATGACACCCACTTTCTGGTTTCTTCATTGCCTTCCTTCATCCTCAGCATCTTGCTTGTCCTACAGCAGGAAAAATAGATCCAAGCGGCCAGGATACACATACTGTGAATGTTCTCTGGTGTGATTCATTTGCAGAATACCAATAATATATTTAACTAGTGTTGTACAAATGAAAGACGCATTTTAAAAGAAATGATTTTAAAGATTTATTCCAAAAGAAGCAATGATTTTTTTATAGAAAGTTTTTCGGGAATAAATGGAAAGGTACAAAAAGAAAAAAGAATAAAAGATTGTATCCATCTATCAATCTTGTGTCTGAATGTTTTATAAGAATATTTCAATTTTTGTATTTCAGATGTGACATGGACTATTTTGTGGATGTGCTCATTTCCTTGCTAAGGCTTATATTACAGCTGTATTGTGAACACTCCAAAGCCAAGATTGGACAATAAACTTTATTGAATACAGGATAGTTTTGTACAGGATATAATTTTTCTCTTTTCTCTTTTTTTGGTAGGAGAAGGATCCGCTTTGTTTTTGAATTTCAGCTAGGTAGCACTGACGTCTCGGGCGTGCAGGTCCCTTGGCAGGCTCCCGAGCGGTGAGTTGCTCCGTGGTGGGCGTGCAGGGGAGGCAGGCTGCCGGACCGCGGCAGGGAGCGTGCCGGGCCGGCCGGGCCGTCTTTGTGCCTTCCCGCAGAGTCGTTCCCCACAGCTGCTTTCTCTGCAGCTCCAGGATGCCTTTCGTTTTCACGCCTGCTAGCAGGGCATTTTTCGGCTGGCTGCAGTAAACTCCCAGACACAGACTTAGTGCAAAAGGAGTTTCCCACTACCTGACCTTTGCAGGGGATTGAAACACAAGACCTGAGAAACTTCTGTGCAATAGGAACATGTTTCTGTGGTCCTAAGGCCCTAAACAAATATTGCCATAAGCCTATCAGGCAAATAAAGCACAGAGCTGACATGCCCAGCCCGTGGTTGCAAAGCAACTGAAGGGCAGAGCTGGAGAAGGGACAGGGGAGCCCTGTTTCCCAGAGCTCTAGCAGCTAAAAATCTCCCCGAGATCAGACCTATTCAGCACGGCAATCCCCTTTACATATTCCTGCCCTCTGGCCCATCAGTGCTGAAGAAAAGCTACGGCCAGCCGGGTCCGGGGGACCTGGGAAGAGCCAGAGATGGGGTACGGGGGGACCTGTGGGATCTTCGGGGCCAGACCTGCGGTGTGAGCGGCTGGTTTAGGGAAGGGGGCAATGCCCTTCATCCCCCTCCCCGGGCTGCACCTCCAGCCGGCGCCCAGCCTGCCTGAGTCACGTTCAGGCACTGGCGTGGGCAGATCCCCAGTAACAAGCTGTTTGCCAAACCAGTTCCTCCATCTGCCGCTCTCATTCCTCCAGTCTCGCAGCGGCGGCAGCTGCTGGCGCTGGGTCCGGGGGAATGCCGCTGAGCAGCCCCAGCCCGCATCCTCCGCCTGCGGACCCAACCGGTGTCTGGATGTTCCCGGCCGCCCAAATAGCCGTAACCTCCCCGCTCAGTATCCCTTAGGGGGGTCCTCCTGCCTCACAAGGAAGCTCAAGCCAGGTCACCCATCGCTCCCCGGGTCTCTCAGCCTACCTGCAAAGCGGAGATGATACCTGCTGCCCTCAACGAGATTATTTGTGTGTCATTAAATTACAGGTGCATTTCGGGAGGCTCAGCCTGGTCGTTTCGTTGCAGCCTGCCCTCCTCCGCTGCAATTTCAGCGCAGTAAAGGAGGAAGCACATTGATTCCAGCTAAATCGGAGTGGGTGTGTGAATTATTTCAGTTGGGCGGTAGGAAAGCGTGTAGGTGAGCGCTTCCTCCTTTTAGACAAGTGTTACAGGATCTGTAATAACTGGGGCAAGATCTCAGGCTAATATTTGACCTAGAAGTGGAGCCAAGATTTCCAAACCACATGGCGTGTTTTGAAACTCTTGACCCCAAAATACATGAGGTGAACACCTCTCTCATGTGCTGCCGTTCCAGCTGCCCGGCCCATGCTGAGCATCTTACATGCAGCCTAGAATAATTCAACCCATCATATGGAGAGTCTGCCCTGTGTTGTAAGAAGCATCACATCTTTTCTCAGTAAGGTTCAGTGATTCAGGGTGGTTATTTTCTTGTCTGCTCAAGCTTGCTTGGTGGTGGGTTTTTTGGGCTGAGTTACAGCTGTTGAAAGGCATCAGTACTCCCATCTCCACATGCACATGCAGCTCTTCGACCTGTCACACCGGCACGTGTGGTTGCTGGGATAATGTGTTGGGGTTTCTGAGGGTGTCAGCCCAGATTTGCCCTTTCTGGTCTCTTGGCAAAAGGGGGACGGGGGAAAACTGTTCGACAGTATCTCAGCCCCAGGCCCTTGGCCTCAGCTGCCAACCCAAACACTGGCAGAAGCCTGGAAGGAGCCTGTCCCCAGGCGCCTGCTGTCCCAAGCCCACCCGTGGGGCCTCAGCTGGTTCCACCCCAAGGAAGCCTTTAGAAAACCTATTACTAGAATTTCCCCACTGTGTTGAGACTGGGCTAAGAGAAGTGATGCCAGCAAATCTGAACAAAATCTGGCTTCTGGGTTGAAGCTCTATTGAGTAGTCACTGCAAGGCAGGACTGGTCATGTTAAAGAAGTAATTGCTCCACTGGCTGAAAAGATTAACTGATATAATGTGAAAAAAACCTGCTGTGCCTCCTGTTACCCCAGGAAGAACGTGCGAGGGCACAGGAAGCAAAAGGAAGGTGTTTCTCAATGCTTGTCGGATCTTTTTGGGCAGCAATGGCACGCACCGACTGACACTGCTGTCTGTAATTGTGCTGCT